TGTGACAAGTGCTAGAAGCACCACAACATCCACCACCAGCTTGCCGCCGACCTGAAGTATCTCACCAGCCCGTGGCCTTTCGCACAGTGGGGGATCGATATACTAGGACCATTTCTGCCAGCGATAGGACAGAGGAGGTTCTTAGTGGTGGCAGTTGATTATTTCACCAAGTGGGTAGAAGCCGAACCTCTCACGACGATCACAGTGCGAAATGTGCAGAAATTCTTTTGGAAGAGTATAGTGTGTCATTTCGGACTACCCCGAGTACTAATCTCTGACAACGGTAAATAGTTCGAGGATATCAAATTCCAGAATTGGTGTAAAGATATGGGGATTCAACAAAATTTCACCTCGGTAGCACACCCTCAAGCAAATGGTCAGGCGGAGGTCACGAACAGAGCCATTCTCTATAGACTGAAGGCACGCCTCAACCGAGCTAAGGGACTCTGGGCAGACGAGCTACCCAGTGTACTTTGGGCTTATCGGACCACGGTAAAGACCGCAACAGGCGAGACTCCCTTCAACCTCACTTATGGCACAAAAGCAGTTATCCCAGCCGAGATCGAAGTTTCCACGCTACATCTAGAAGTGTATGATGACAAGGCAAATGAAGACGAGCTACGCACCAACCTCGACCTACTCGACGAAGTACGGGACCTCGCATACATTAGGATCGCGACCTACCAGCAGAGAGTAGCTCGGTACTATGATGCCAGGGTCAAGAAGTGGAACCTCCGCGTCGGTGACCTGGTCCTTCGTAAAGTTATGGTGCCAGAGCCCGGTGTTGGTAAGCTCGGGCCAAATTGGGAAGGACCCTACCGAGTAAAGCGGGTGCTCGGGGAAGGAACGTATGAGCTCGAAACCCTAGAAGGGAAACAAGTACCTTGGGCATGGAATATTGTCAACTTAAGGCAGTATTACCTATAATCGCCAAGCTGAGTGGACTGTAATCGCTCCTAGAGCCTAAGGGCCAATACGCTGAGGCTAACAAAGACCTCGGCACTATAAGACCCAGCCGCCTCTTCGGCATGGGTGAACTCCAAAAGAGGGGTGGACTGTAGTCGCTCCCAAAGCCTAAGGGCCAAAACGCCGAGCTAACAAAGACCTCGGCACTATAAGACCCAGCCGCCTCTTCGGCATGGGTGAACTCCAAAAGAGGGGTGGACTGTAGTCGCTCCCAAAGCCTAAGGGCCAAAGCGTCGAGCTAACGAAGACCTCGACACTACAAGACCAGTCGCCTCTATGGCATGGGCGAACTCTAGGAGAGTGGACCATAAGTCACTCCCCCAGCCTAAGGGATAAAACACTGAGCTAATGAAGACATCGGCACCGTATAAGACCTAACCGCTTCACCGGCATAGGCTAAGTGTTAATACCAAAGGCGTAGGCAGCTCGGGTGTGGATCCTATGATGCATAGCCCGCCCCGATATACAAGTTGGACCCGCTAGGGACAACTGACTTCA